TTGGGCTCATATTGGTCGCGCTTTGGCCCCTTCCGACATGCAGGAGAAAAGGCGTCGGTTGGGATGAAGATGTTGCATTGTAGGGCTGCATGGACCTCCAGGTACATGATTATTAGTTTTTCGCATGAAGCCTGGTCGTTTTTATGCGTTTCTGCTTATATGCAAACTGCAAAAACGCATATTGCAACGACCCTCTCTGTGTTTGTGTGTATGTCTGTGTGTGTGTGTGTGTTCGCCTGTCCAGGTATTTCAACTCGGCATCCAAGCAAGCCTCGGCGCCAAAATTTTGCGAGTGGGTTCCCCGGCCAATTGCCAACCCAGGACTGCGGTACCAACCCTTACGCAAGTCTGGGCCCCGCGTACGAGAGGGTGAAGTTTTGGCGGGAAAACTGCTAACTTAGGAACAGGAAAAGCTAGAAAGCTGAAATTTTGGAATTATGTTTGCCGTTCAAATACAACAGAAAGATTTCAAATTCAGCCGCCGGGTGTGCGTGGTTTCCGTGAACAGCCCCGTGAAAGGTTTCTGGCGGGAAAATCGTTAACTTGAGATTCAGAAAAGCTGGGAGGCTGAAATTTTTAGGGAATGTTCCCAGCACATATACAACATAAATTTATCTAATTCAGCTCCATGGTATGGGTGGCTCTTAGGTACGGCCCCAAGTTTTTGGCGGAAAAATGGCTAACTCGGGGACCAGGAAAGCTGGAAGGCTGAAATTTTCAGGAAAGTGTTCCTTGTCCAAGTACCGCATAATAATCAAATTCCCGAACTTCGAACACCAGTATTTTACACATTCTGGCTATTGGGTTTCCAGGCGACCTCATTAGAGCACGAAATAATGCAAAAATGCATGATCGCGCGGCCCCGCCCGGTGCGCGTCGCCAATGATTTTTCGGTGAAGTTGTGTATTTTTCATTCTCACTTGCACAGAATTTCATTTGAAAGTAGAACTAAGGCCGCACTTGAAATAGAATACCCCGGCGAAGTTTCAGCCTCGCATCTTATCCGGTAAATGAAATATCCACTTTGCTACAAATATCTTTGAAATGCCCTAAGTCGTGGCACAAACGCTAGTCGGTACTCATTTTAGGCATACGACTTCCCATTTGGGCAACAAACATTCTGAAAAAATTTCACCCACTGTTTTCTGACAAGTTTTCGAGTTAGCAAAGTACCATGTTGTAAACTTTGAATTGGTCGTGCGAGCTGCACAAGCGTGCGCAACAGCCAAATTTGAAATTTTTAGCTTACACATGCATAGAGAAAACCCGTGCAAAGTTTCAGTTTTGTATCTTGCCTCGTTCACGAAATCGTTTCCCATCAGTGAAATCTGCATATTTTTTGGGGAGTCCGTGCGCGGGGTCTAGGCGCATACGAGCGAAAATTTTAAAACCGGAGGATGACAGACGGGAAAAGGAACATACCCAGAATTTCAGCCCCCCAGCTTTCCTGGTTGCTGAGATGAAAGTGGGGACAAAGTTCACTCGCATCTGAACACACACTCAGATGACCTCTCGACAATATGCTTTCTTGCTGGCTGCAGCAACCGCTGTAGCGCTGCACAACAAAAACACATAAAACCCGTGTACGATTTATGTAACTTACGTAATCGACGCTTTGTCCAGGACGCGTTGCTTAAACAATGCTTACTGCACTCATAAGTAAATCGTAAGGTTCTCTCCAAAGGTATCGCTTGTCCCAGTAGTTTATAGTAAGTTCACAACATTTTTACACTGTTCAGTGTTGTAGAGATGGAGAAAATCGGACTAGCATTACCTCAGCATAGGACCCATTGCCCAATGGAATAATGACGATGTCTTCGCTGTCAGTAACGATGACGTGGTCTTCGCTGTTGCTGCTTGCTCCTTCCTCACTGTTGAAATCCGATTCTACAATGTGCAGCTGTTCACTTCCGGATTCGCTGGTCGCTGGGGTACTAGAGTGCAGTACTGTATCTGGCGCAACCCAGTGCACCGCCCATATCATCAAAGTTACGTGAAAGACGCTCATCCTGGAAAATTCGTGATTAAAAGAGCTGCGCGCAGTGGGTTGCTGTTTCTGAGCCAGAGAGAGACAGGTGAGTTGCGAACTTCGGCCCATCGGTACTGTGGGTTTCGGCGCAGAGGTTTCAAAGCCATTGTAGCGTAACCGTCCCAATTCATGGCCTTTTATACTGCTTTACTTACACGCAGTTCTAAAACTATTGACATTTTAACCCTTAGCCTCTCTTAATCGTATTAATCTGAACAATAGTCATCGCGCAAGAGAGCGTCAGGTGAGCTTTTTTAAGCTCATATACAGACAGGCGCTGTTTTAACAGCATTAAGGACGCTTTTTATGTGCTTTTGTTGTGTAGCGCTATAGGGCTGCTACAGTCAGCAAAAACGCACATTCTTGAGAGGCTGTCTATGTGAATGCGTTCGGAAAACCAGTGCATTTTGTCACCCACTTTCATCTCAGCAATCAGGAAGCCGGGAGGCTGAAAGTTGGATATATTTTCCTACCCCGCGTGTCATTCTCTCGTTTTAAGATCTTCCCCCATACGCGTCTAGACCCCGCGTACGGGACCCCAAAGAAATATGTTGGCGGGAAACGATTTCGCAAACCAGACAGCATAGAAAGCTGAAACTTTGTAAGGATATTCTCCATGCAAGTGCGAGCTAAAGATTTTAAACTCAGCTGTCGAGCACCCCAACCACAGCCTCAAGTAGCTTCTCAAC